CCCTGGGCCCATAAGTCCAAGTCAAATCCAAGTCCCTGGGCCCATAAGTCCAAGTCCCTGGGCCCATAAGTCCAAGTCCCTGGGCCCATAAGTCCAAGTCCCTGGGCCCATAAGTCCAAGTCCCTGGGCCCATAATTCCAAGTCCCTGGGCCCATAAGTCCAAGTCCCTGGGCCGATAAATCCAAGTCCCTGGGCCCATAAGTCCAAGTCCCTGGGCCGATAAATCCAAGTCCCTGGGCCCATAAGTCCAAGTCCCTGGGCCCATAAGTCCAAGTCCCTGGGCCCATAAATCCAAGTCCCTGAGCTCATACGTCCAAGTCCCTGGGCCCATAAGTCCAAGTCCCTGGGCCCATAAGTCCAAGAACCTGGGCCCATAAGTCCAAGAACCTGGGCCCATAAGTCCAAGAACCTGGGCCCATAAGTCCAAGAACCTCGGCCCATAACACCAAGTCTTATATTTTTATGCAGGTTGAAATGCAATACCTCTTAAAATTCACGTACTAATGATTTCAAATATATCAAATTAGATCAGAGAGAAAGAGTTAGTTTCTTTTTGTGTTTAACTGTAGAGTGTAGTTTGCATGTTCTGCCTACGTCAATGTTGGTTCACGCCCAATGTTAAAGTGTCCCTATTAGCGTTATACATTCTCTCACATTCCCACAAAGATAGCAATCTCCAAATCTCCCAAGAGTCCCCTGTCCACAGCGCGGTTCCCTGCATGTACCTGAATCAAAGTCCATCCCATTACAATATTAATGACCACAGAGCAGGATAATGTGTGATGGATCACCAATCGGCAGCCTCCAAATGGCACGGCGCGAGTTGGCCACATAAATAATACAGTCATTTAGATGCAAAATCCATGGTAAGAGGATTACCAAAGCACTGGCACCGTAATCAATCGTCATTTTGGGCCAAACATGAGGCATCGCGAACAGCAAAGTGAACTAAACCGGGAAGTACAGGGAGAAGGTTGGACTGGAAGACCTGCAAATGGACCCAGAAGTTTGCATAAGCACTGGGAAGATTGTGTTTACATTAAGTGACTGGGCCTTTTGAATATTTAAACCAAGATTTAGGCCTTGACCCAAAACAGGTCATTAATTATGGATGCATGCAGCGGGTAGCGAGCTGAGAACAGTCCTTTATTCTCTTTGTACCTTTGAATCGAGCCATATTTCAGTTTTGCAGATGCAGTGGTTATGGGGTCTATTAAATGTATGTATTCTGTCCTCACTATGGTGTCACACTGCCAGGGCTAGACAGATAGCGAACAACAAAAAGAGAGTCCGGAAGACCATGTAGAGACGTTAGCTTTTACTTTTTTCTCCACACTTGTCTCTTTAAAGTTGTAAAACTGCCACACAATTTATAAAATGTGCATAACAAAAAAAAGGTGTAACAGTACAGTGTGTTTGTAAAGCCCTAAATCACAGCAGTCTCGGGGGACTTTGCAAAGTTGTCGATTTTCCAATAACGAATCAGTCCCAACACGAGAAATACAATAATAACAAACAGATAGGAGTCCTTAAGGTGTCCTTATAGACTCTCCAGCGTCGGTAAGAAACGACTCGAAGAGAAGTGGGAGAAAAAGTGAGAACTCGAGGAGGCCCACACTGAGAGAGGGATTAACTTCCACCAATGCACAGACCTTACACTGCAAAAAATGATAAAATATGAGGTGATAATTGCTTGAATCGAGTGGTTTTTATCCTAATTTGAGCACATTCTGACTGTTTTTCTGAGTGTCCTATCCATGCCAAATGTGACATGTAAATTTCTCCTATGTGAGATAAATAAAGCTTATCTTTTAGACAAGATTAGTATCATTTCAAGAACTGTTGCTTTATTTTCTCATTCCAAGAAAGACATTTCTTGTATCCCCCACAAGATCATTTTGCTTTGTCCCGATGGTAAATCTTGTTTTAAGGCAGTCAAAATGTGCTCAATTGAAGATAAATTTTTCATCACTTTTTGCAGTGTAGATCCCACACTCAGGCTGTAGAACGAGGACTGAGGCTGTTTGGATATATTTTATTAATCTCTGTAATGGATTTTAGTCCTCCGTGTCCACTTCTGTTTCTCATCCGTTAGATAACTATCATCGTCCAAATGCCGTTACGTTGTTAGTGTGGTATCAGGACACATTGTGAAAGTCTTTCCAAAACATTCATTAATTTAATCCACACAATCTTTAAGGAAGTACTTTGTCAACAATACTGAGGCTTTGTTCACATTTATCAGTCTTAATGACGTCCCCGACTTGTTTCAGATGAATGAGGAGACTGAGGAGACGAGAGTTGTGCTTGTTTGTGTGTTAACTCTAACCCTAGAGTTGAAGTCACTATTAATGTGTCCATAAAACCGTGTACCAACGAAGTAAGTAATGTTTTTTTATATAGCAAATTTTTACAGACCAATCAATCAATGATTTATTTGTAAAGCACAATTCGTGTACAAGGCAATTAAAAGTGTTTCACAAGAGACATTTAAAAACACAGATCAAAAAAAATATAATAATAAAAAAATATATAAAAATAAAATACAATTATCCAATGTCACAATGTTCAGAGTTCAGATGTTGTTAATTTCATTTTCAGTAAAACCACATTGGAATACATTTACAAAAGTCCCCAGCGTGCACCAGACAAGTACATAATTAAACAAGGTAAAAGGAAAAAAAGTGCAGGAATCAATTTAATTCTCTCCAGACGGTGATGACGAAAGCGAGAAGCCCCAACCAACACCATCGCTACATTCAGGCCTATTCCGCATGTTTTTAGAGGTAGGGGAAACCGTAGCGCCCGGAGGAACCCTACGTAGACACGGGTAGAACATGCAAACTCCACACAGAAAGGCCCTGTTTTCCGACCTTATTTCTGAAGCGACTCGGCCACCGTGTCGCCCATGAATTGTATAAACAAACTCTAAAGAAGAGAAAGAAGGAAAGAAGAATCAGACGCACACATCTAACAGTCTCTATGATTGAAGATATTAGACAGTATTAAAATAAGATAATAAAATTCACTATGGAGCTATAGTCGCACTTGGTTCAGAAGTATTTACAGATTTGAATGTTGTACTTTAGCAGCGGAGAATATGAGCAGAATACACATCAGTGATAATATCAGAAGGTAAAGTGACTAAGTGCCTAGTGAATTATTATCAGGGACACTTGTACAGACTCAGCTCTCGTTAGACATTGGGTGGCACTGTGTCCGCGTAGGTTTCCTCCGGGTACTCCGGTTTCCCCTACCACTAAAAATATGTCCAATAGTTCTAGCATGCGCCTCCTGTACTGGCGACCCTACTCCCATCTCTGTGTGGAGTGAGAGACAAAATGCCCAAAATTAACAATTGTAAATTGCTTTGAGACTCAGATCTGCAGTGAAAAGGCGGTATATAAATAAAGATTACTACTATTACTACTACTAGACATTCTCATTAGACATTCTCGTTATACAGCCTGACAGCAGCAGGATATTCCATCTGTAGCTGCTGGTTCCATCCATCAGTATTCCATCAGTGGCCTGCTTCCTCCAGCTCTGGTCAGGAATACAGCCGCTGGAGAAAAGCACAGGAGGAGAGTTCTATGGAAACATATGAGCACATTTTCACCGTGAGCCGGAGTGCACTCATCCCATTTAGTGCTCCGTCAAAATAAAAGCTGTGTCTGTCCAAACATCTGTCTTTGAGGCCGGTGCGTCGCAGAACACGGAGCAGACACTGTGTCCTTGTCTCTCTGCTGTTCATTGATTTTTGGTTTTCAAAGGAAAACACAGTAGTTTATTTCATTGAGTGTGTTTGACCACGTTTGACAGGCCTCTTACAGAGAGCACTTCAGGGCTGCAGTCTGCATACAACCAAGACAAAGGAGAGACACGATTGGCAAAATGACAGAGCCAACATGAGAGGAAGAACTGTTTTTGATTTTCTTTATGACTGATATGACAATAGTGAGTTCATCAATCATAAATAACACTGAACCAACACAATAAAACACATTCAGGGTTGATTCTGAATGTTCTGAAGATTCTGATGCTTGTTTCTAAATGTGTAAATGGTTTGGCCCCTGTGTAAATGTGTTGTAAATGTGCACTACAAATAAAGTTGACATTGACAAAACAATAATGTAACATGGTGTGTGTGATTGCGCTGTGGAAATGTAACGACTTGTGCCTCTTCTAAAATCAAATGCAAAATGTCGTGTTTACCATACAGCAGCCTGGCCTTATGCATCCGTCCCTGTGTTTGCGATTACAAGCGCAGGAGGCGGGTGTTGTAGTTAGTTGTGGGTGACGTCAAGAGTTTGCGTCGAGCGGGCAGGTTGTAGTTTGGCGAAGAATGTGATAGTAAAGTAATCTGGTCTGGCTCTATCAAGAAATTGAAGCCGGAGCAAGAGGAATGTTTAGCAAGTTTCATTGCTGGCAAAGATTGTGGCACTTCTACAACCAAGACAGCGGCATCTCCTTTGCCGCGGATGGCTAGGCTAAAAGCTAAATGCTAACGACTCTCTTGGATCGTTTCAATCTGCAAAAGGAGTTAACCCCTCCCTCCTGTTAACGGAGCTCAATGAAACACCTCCAGACCTTAGTACGAAATGAAATTTGCACTATGGTGTGGTACGACCAGGCGAATATAGCAGTTGTATTTGAGGTTTTAGATGCCTGAACTCGGCAAAGGACTGGGACAAGAGTTGGGACTGCACACAGGGGAAGCAGAGACGTGTTTCAGGGCAAATCTCGTTGGATGGATGCATACATGAGGCATGGATAATAAACATACAACCGTCCATTTTGCATAATACGTTATTACTCTTCCACCTTATCAAATGAAACTCACAGGCTATTTAATGAAATTGTGTCTGTCACAATCCAACCCACTTTCAATATTCTATAAAAATAATCAAATTCACTCTGCTACTTACCGCTCTGAATATTAGCAGCTTACCCCGAGAGCAGCCGAGAACAGAATCTGGCTTTAATGTGTCTCCAAACCAATGGGAAGGCGTCCTCTCCTCCTGCTGCTGCTGCTGCTGCTGCTGCTGCTGCTGCTGCTGCTGCTGCTGCTGCTGGCGGCTGCTGCTGCTGCGGTAATGCCTCCATCACTCTCCATCAGCTCTCCTCCACCGACCTGGATGAACAAATTAGCATCGATAATTGTTACTGTGTCGACAATAAGGACACGGCTCGCTAACTTTACTGTGAGGGGTGTCGCTGAGGAGGACCAGAGGGGGACCAGCAGGAGGGAAGAGGAGGACCAGAGGGGGACCAGCAGGAGGGAAGAGGAGGACCAGAGGGGAACCAGCAGGAGGGAAGAGGAGGACCAGAGGGGGACCAGCAGGAGGGAAGAGGAGGACCAGAGGGGAACCAGCAGGAGGGAAGAGGAGGACCAGAGGGGGACCAGCAGGGGGGAAGAGGAGGACCAGAGGGGGACCAGCAGGAGGGAAGAGGAGGACCAGACAGGAACCAGCAGGAGGGAAGAGGAGGACCAGAGGGGGACCAGCAGGGGGGGCAGAGGGGGACATAGAAGGACAACCAGAGGACCAGAAGGGGACCATCAGTGGAGCAGAGAAGGACCAGAGGGAGACCAGCAGGAGGAAAGAGGAGGACCAGACGGGGACCAGCAGGAGGGAAGAAGAGGACCAGAGAGTGACCACCAGGAGGACCAGAGGGGGACCAGCAGGGGAGAAGAGGAGGACCAGAGGGGGACCACCAGGGGGGAAGAAGAGGACCAGCAGGGGAGCAGAGGAGGACCATCGAGAGACCTGAGGGGGGCCTCCATGGGGACCAGAGGAGCCCAACCAGGGGAGTAGAGGGGGACCATCAGGGGGCCATGTGGGACCACACAGGGACCTCCGAGTTGAAATGAGAACGGTTCAATTTCTTCCTTTTCACCTGGAATCCAAACAACAACAAACATATCCCACAGTTTCACCGATCGCTGCCATAACTTTCCTCACATTTCTCCAACCGCAACGGATTAACAAACTTGGAAGCATGGCTAACCACAAGGACTTAATGCAAACCAGAACAAATTAATGAACTTGGAAGCATGGCTAACCACAACAAATGAACAGAAGCGTGACTAACCACACCCAATATACTAACACGGCCAACCACAATTGATGAATGAAGGTAGAAGCATGGCTAATCAGAATGAATGAACAAACTTAGAAGCATGGCTAACGACTGTGAATGAAAACACCCAGAAGCATGGCTAACCACAATGAATGAATGCACTTATTAGCATGACTACCTGCAATGATTTGTCTATTTCTAACCAGAATTAATGAACATAGAAGCATGCCTAACAACAATGAATCAATGAACTTGTAAGCATTGCCACACACAATAGATTAATGAACTTAGAAGCATGGCTAACCACTCCAAATAAATGTAGATTGGCCACCCTTTCTTCTTTTGTGTCGTCATCTGCCAGGTGACAGTTTTCAAATGTCCAGAAATTGGGTATTATGTTAACGTGGGGAGTAAAAGTAAAATGTGTGTAAAAGTAGTAAAGTACAGATACTATAAATACTTGAGTACATCTGTAAAATTACTATTACCAACCCTGATATATATTTTTTTTTATTTTTTCAGTCTGTTTTGTTGCATTGCTCCAGTATCTACCAAAAGTGACAAAAAGTCCGTACGTTTGAGGAAAGTTGTATCGGTCTCTGTGTCGCTGTCGTCGCGCTGTGTTGTGTTGCTTTTGCCGCGGCGATTGTGCGACAAGTGTGTGCTCGTCCTTTAGGTTGATTTGGATGCAGCGTGGTGGTCGCCTTCGCCCTCATTAATCATGCTGAGAGAAGGAGCGCGGCGAGGACGTGTCTGACCTGCGCCGCACACACACGCACCACCGCCTCCGGACACACACACGCAACACACACACAGACAGATCGCACGCACACACACACACACACACAGACCGCACACACACAAACACAGACCGCACACACCCAACACACAAACAGATCGCACACACACACACACACACACACACACACACACAGATCGCACACACACAAACACAGACCGCACACACACACAAACACAGACCGCACACACACACAAACACAGATCGCACACACAAACACAGATCGCACACACAGACCGCACACGCACACACACACACAGATCGCACACACACAAACACAGACTGCACACACACACACACACACACACACACAAACACAGATCGCACACACAGACCGCACAGACAGACCGCACACACACACACACACACACACAGACCGCACACACAAACACAGATCACACACACAGACCGCACACGCACAAACACAGACCGCACACACACAAACACAGATCACACACACAGACCGCACACACACAAACACAGACCGCACACACACAAACACAAACCGCACACACACAAACACAGACCGCACACACAGTCCCACCCAAGAAAACAAAAACAAGAGATTATGGAAAACCACAATCTTGTATGTTCAAGGTTCAAGGCGCACACATTTTAAACACAAACATACTATGAATTAATGAATTAATTTAGAAGCATGGCTAACCACAATGACTGAATGAACTGAGAAGCATGGCTAACCACAATAACAATGACTGAATGAACTTGGAAGCATGGCTGTCCACAATGACTGAATAAACTTGGAAGCATGACTAACCACAACAAATGAATGAACTTGGAAGCATGGCTAACCGCAACAAATGTAATAACTTGGAAACACAGCCAATTAACGATTGCACTTATGAGCATTTCTAACTGCAAGTGAGGGCAGCTACGGCTACTGTGCCCTTTGGCAAGACACTTCACACACTCTCAACCTCAGGACAATCAGCTCATCCGCACAATGTCAATATTCAGTCCTATAGATATAAGGATACACATCAAGACACTAGTAAAGCACCACAACTAAAAACAGTATTTACACAACGGGCTGTGGACCCGGGCTGATGGATCACTCTGTTGCTCTTGGCAGACACTTCCGTTGCTAATTCTGTGATTAGAAAACGGCCCGAACACTCGGCGGAATCAAAACACAGCACTCTGGACACGAGGAGGCGGGAAATTAAGTCCATGTGGTTCTGGTCCACGTAGGGTTGGACCGAACCATCGTAGTTCTACAGTTAACTTTGGAACGTGAAGGTGGGAGAATGTGTGATGTCGCTGATTGGTCGGTGGAAGATTTCTGCTCAAATCTGTAATATTTACTCTGGATTAACAGGTGTTCGTTGATGTGCAGCGTCTGTATCAGAGGAATGAGAGGAGAAAAAAAATCTGTTTTTTATGGTTTTATGAAATTGGCTTATGAATAAATAACTGTTTTATTATGAAGTCAATCAAAACATATGTATGACCGTATTTAAAGCTGGGGTACATAACTTCAAATTCATTCAACTTTAAATATGCAATTAAATTAACCTATGGAATCAAATTCATGATCTAGTTCCTGGTTATATTTATGACTGTATTTAAAGCTGGGGTATCTAACTTTAATTATTATACGGCTCCTCACAGCAGCAGTAGAATGCTCCATTGATTTGAATGTAATTTCAAAACGTTCTACCGGTCATTATTTTCTATAACGGACCTCTCAAAACAATAATGACCGCTGCCCTTTGGCAACGCACTCTCTGCTTGTCTTTCAAATGCGTGGATAACTCCGCAAGTAGTTCCGGCCACTCCTGAGCTAGCCACGCTCAATCAACACACTTAAATGTTAATCGGAGAATACTTATACATTCTTCACTTCATGCTCTTGTCTTCATGACAAAAATACTATTTCTCTGCGTCAAAAAGCGATCGTGAAAAACCCGGAAGTAGTTCCGGCCGCTCAATAAACGCAAATGCCAATCAATCAACGCAATGAAATGTTTATTGGAGAGTGAATTATACATATCCAGTCTTAATACAAGTGCACGGAAGTTTTCAGAATTTTCCGTTTACGTTTTCATGACAAAAACACTGATGTAATGCGAGAAAAGGCGATCCCGAAAAACCCGGAAGTAGATACCGGCACATTTTAAGATACCGGCACATTTTCGGACACATTTGCAGAGGATCGAATTATGGATTTAGGTTAAGTTTATGTTTGGGTCACTCACCGCTGATGTTCAGAGTTCTTTGTTCAGTTTTCATGCAGTTCCAGAGAGTTCTAGTTTGGAAGTTGCCAGCCTAACTGTTGCTAGCATAGCCACAATTGTCAAAGCCACACTGCCTGCCCGCGGTTGCCGAGCAACGGGAAAACTTTTTGGGACTACTTTATTTGTTGTCATTAAATAAACTTTTGGCATTCATAAAAGTGATCTGAAGTTTATTTTGTGTGTTAAGTTGGTACAAAGCAGTATAATAAGCGGGATAATGTATAGCCTACAGGTCATTATCGGAAAATAAGTACCTTCAGGGCGGAAGCAGACCCCTCCGCGTCGGGGTCCGCTTCGCCCTGTCGGTACTTATTTTCCGATAATGACCTGTATGCTATACATTATCCCTTACATATGCAACTAGATTAACCTATGTATTCAAATGCATGTAGTTCTAGCTCCTGGCTCTATCACATCGGTCTCATCTTTGGATCAGCTTTTTCAGTTCAAAATGAATCAATTATAGCCTGGTCGTACCACACCATAGTACAAATTACATTTCATACTAATGTCTGGATTTGCTCCATTGAGCTCCGTGAACAGGTGGGAGGGGTTAACTCCTTTTGCAGATTGAAACGATTGGATCTGAGTTTACCGTGACGTATGTAATGAGCCCAAGTGTGTTGTTAGCATTTAGCATTAGCCTTGCCATCTCCTTTGCCGCTAACGGAGCCAGTGGGGAGTAGCGCCACAATCTTGACCAGCGATTACATTGGCTAAACATTCCTCTTGCTCCTGCTTCAGTTTCTTGATAGAACCAGACCGGATTACTTTACTATCGCATTCTTCGTCATTGCCAAACTACAACCTGCCCGTTCGACGCAAACTCTTGACGTCACCCACAACTGACTACAACACCCGCCATCCGCGCTCTCTAAGTAGCCGGTCGAAATACGACCGATTGTATTCGCAAACACAGGGACCAGACCCAGACGTTACATGCAGTGAAATGATGATTGAGCGGAGTGTACGGATGGATAAGGCCAGGCTAGCTCAATGAGAGTAGTACCTGTAATTCTCAGCTCACAGGGCTCTTTCCTACAGGTGTCCAAAAGATACATGTTGTGAGGGTCTGATTTTCATTTGACTTTTACACGACTCTTTCTGTTTGGACAATCAACATTTATTGGTTATTTCAATTCCATCCCATTCATTTTTGCACAGCCCTGAATCCCAGCCACACACGCCCAACCTCCAAACAATTATGAAAATGAATAAATATCAATGTGCTCCTTTGACTTAGGAAGAAATGGAACATAATCACATTTATGATCGAGACAGCTTCACATAAAAGAAATGTCTCAGAATATCACAGGTTTAATTCATTCCAAGAGTGTTTCGACAGGAGAAAAGTACCGCTTCAAATACATGATTGTGATTTCATTTATGAGCCAATTATTCTTTTGTTTGCCTTAAAGCTGCGGTACATCATCTCAGATTGTAAACGGTGAAAGTTTCTAGCTCACTGCTAAACTTTATGCTACTTTACTCTCTACGTTTATGCTAAAGTTGGAGATGTTATTCTTCAATCAATCAATCAACTTTTATTGATCCAGCACAGTTCCTACAGAAAGCAACGCAAAAGAGCCTCACATTAGCAACTTGTAAAACCAATTTAAAGACACCCTGTAAAAACACATACAGAAGACAATTTAAAAACAAATATAAATGTATTTATCAAAAATAAAATGAAAATCCGTTGCCTGTTTATGATTGGTTGAAGGAACAGCTAAAAATTATTTCTGAATGCTAAAGCTAGAGATTTTAAACTAGCTTACATACTATGGTAAAGATAGAGATTTTGTTTTACTTAGTATAGAGTTGTTGACCATCTTGTTCTGTGAGCTCCTCATTCCTACTGTTATATACCTAGTGATGCAACACTGACATTTCCCCACTGTCTTAAACAGTCAGATAATGTTCTTATGAGTGCAAAAAGTACCCCAGCTTTAATACTGAACTGATAGAATAATGCCAACAATATGCCACGGAACACAGTGGGATATGATTTAAGGTGATAATAATAACATTCTCTATGTGTGTCAAACTGCTACAGGAATAAAAGTGGCTTTGATCTTCCCAGTATTGTTTGATTCCAAGATGCAGATTCCAACTTTGGAGTCATTAATTATGTAAGCATCACATATAAAAGCACAGTTGTACATATTCCCCTCAGATGTGAGGCCGGTGCTAATGAGAACGCCAAACACAAGAGCCACTGTTTCCTCTGTTCTCTGCTCCTTATGAAGCCACAGCCGCCGCTCCGTCGTCATGGAGCGACTTCATCATGGTCTTCATCATGGACTTCCTCATGGAGCGACTTCCTCATGGAGCGACTTCAACATGGACTTCATCATAGAGCGACTTCATCATGGACTTCATCATAGAGCGACTTCATCATAGAGCGACTTCATCATGGTCTTCATCATGGACTTCCTCATGGAGCGACTTCATCATAGAGCGACTTCATCATGGTCTTCATCATGGACTTCATCATGGAGCGACTTCATCATGGAGCGACTTCATCATGGAGCGACTTTGTCATGGACTTCATCATGGAGCGACTTCCTCATGGAGCGACTTAATCATGGAGCGACTTCATCATGGACTTCATCATGGAGCGACTTCATCATGGAGCGACTTCATCATGGAGCGACTTCATCATAGAGCGACTTCGTCATGGACTTCATCATGGAGCGACTTCATCATGGAGCGACTTCGTCATGGACTTCATCATGGAGCAACTTCATCATGGAGCGACTTCATCATGGAGCGACTTCATCATGGAGCGACTTCGTCATGGACTTCATCATGGAGCGACTTCCTCATGGAGCGACTTCATCATGGAGCGACTTCATCATGGACTTCATCATGGAGCGACTTCATCATGGAGCGACTTCATCATGGAGCGACTTCATCATGGAGCGACTTCATCATGGAGCGACTTCGTCATGGACTTCATCATGGAGCGACTTCGTCATGGACTTCATCATGGAGCGACTTCGTCATGGACTTCATCATGGAGCGACTTCATCATGGAGCGACTTCATCATGGAGCGACTTCATCATGGTCTTCATCATGGAGACGCTCAGAGCATATTATAGTCATAACATGGATACACAATCAGAGTCCTTGTAGAGTCTTTGTCCACCTTCGTATAAGTCATATAGCTACAGTATCTAATCCTCATACCACTGTCCGGGATAAACCTCCCCATCCAGTATTTTTTATTGCTTCATCTATTTATCTCAAGCTCATCGACTGGAATCAATTCTTGTCACAGTTTTTAAACAAAGGAAGTTTGTACAGCACTGATCATACACTCAGCAACTCAAGGTGCTGAAGAAAACATGCGGTATTAGTGCCATATGAACCAACCCGGACTCTGAGGAGCACAGGGACTGGCCTCCTGCTGGGACTCTGAGGAGCACAGGGACTGGCCTCCTGCTGGGACTCTGAGGAGCACAGGGACTGGCCTCCTGCTGGGACTCTGAGGAGCACAGGGACTGGCCTCCTGCTGACCCCATGTATGCAGTTAAACAGTCTTGCTGAAAATGCAACACGGGCTCCTTGTTCATCTCCAGGTTAAAACATTATTTTTTTTGCTGTGCTACAACTGAAAGCCTGTATCTTCTCTCTCTGTAATGTACTCTGACGATTTATGATATTTTGTATGATTTTATTATCATATATTGGTTTCATATTGAAGTATAGTTACTTTTGAACAATATTAGTTTATAAAAACACACATTTTGGCATGGAGAGATGTTGACAATCGCCCTCTGCTGAAGTCTCCTTTAAATCCATCTCACAGTCCTCCTCCCTACAGTACATGCAGTCTTGGGGCGGCTTTTATGCAAATCTCCTTGGAAACGGTCAGTCAAAGTCCACGGCCTCGCACATGTAGCTGCACTTATATATCTGTCATGTCTATACATTTCCAACTGACCAGCCATGATCTCTGGGCGCCGCAATGCATTATTATTATTATTATTATTAATTTTGGAATATTTTTGGGGGGATTCCTGTTTTGAATCATTTTCTTTCTTTCTTTCTTTCTTTATGACCCTATGAGTATTGGAGCATAAAATTATTGACAAAAATCCACCAGAAAAGAATAATCAAACTCATGTTAATAAAGTATTCTTAAATATTATTAAAATTATTTCGCTTTATCCAAGCAGCGGTCTAAGTGGAGACTGTTATTGTTAAAAATATAATGGGAGGAAACCACTTTTATACTTCCAGCCCCCGACTAGCTTTTGCTTTTTAAAGAATTAATCTTACGCATTATTTTTGGAAATAAACAATTATTACCGAAGGGGCGGAGTCACATGTTTGTCCCTGATATCAACATGGATGGAACACTTCGCCTAATATGCCCCAGACCAAAATTAATCTAACACTCTGCTTTGTGCAAAAACTAAATACAAAAATAGCTGTGGTCCCCCAGGGCAGTGTCTTGGCCTCTTAAGTCTAATTACATGTTGCCTCCTTTGCCGCTCTCTGGGTTTGTGAATGACAGCGATGATGGGGGGTAGTTATTGTGATTCAGCGGTGGAGGACATCACTCAGCCTCGGGCCCTTTACCGCGGCTAAAGGTCGCGCTGCTAGCATTATGGCTCGTAAATACCTTTCGCTTTATTGCGGTCAACGTTTACCATCAGCCGTAGAAACGCGGTAACCTCCCTGACATCACCCACGCACAGTTTATGAAAGAAGCCCTAAGATCTTCCGGCGTTTAGAGCACCGGTGCGTGGCTAAAACCGGGCGCGTGGCCTCGTTACACCGCCGCTATTTTTGGGCGATGGGTGAAGGAATTATCCAGGACACATGATTGTTCTTCACCAAGGAGCACCTTTAATACAGACTCTTGTGTACATATGATTGACTAAAAGGTTATTTAGTGTATTTTGCCCTGGAGTCAAGGCTTTTGCCGCTTTTCCGTCTTCAGCCTCGGTGAAGTGAGAGGCGTCTATAAGAAGTCAAGCTATTGTTCACTCTTTAGTATTGCAGCAGAAGTTTAAACCAAAGGCTCTGTGGAATATTTGTTTGCTTTGGTGAAGAATGGGAGTGATGTGGTCTCTGCTGTATCCCTTATTTTTCACACTCTACTATGAAAACGCAAAAACATATAATTGTTTTTTTTCTTATTATGACGACACTTTTTTTAAAATCTTGAATGGAATCTTGAATCTTTGTTTCATTGATTGAACATGAACATGTGCACCAATAATCGTTAGTAAGTTAGTCAGTGACAATCGTTTAATAATTTCACCAATCTAAAGGTGCAGGATACAGGAGGAATTTTCCCAATTTTTTGGAAAGAACCGCCCTCTCCACTTTTTTAACAAAACTCTCTGGTCTTTGTTTGACGAGCACATATCACCAGAAGGGTTAAAAATTGGGAGGACCAATAGTCTTGATGATCCACCCGGAAGTAGAAAATCCTCTATATACCTTTAATGTACTTATTAGGTTGTATTTATGTGTTTCTCCTGCGGGATTTCTATCTAGTAAAACTACTAGTAGTACTAGTAGCATAGTAGTAAGTAGCAAGTATCTATCTACTGTATCTCTCCATCCATCCATCCATCCATCTATCTATGCCATGTTCTCTTCTGTCGCCATGGAATTTCAAAAACATTCTAATGAACGCCTAAAGAAGAAAGAAAAGCTGCTCCTTCACATCATACAAATCCTGCCGGTGCGCTGAGCGAGCCTTGTTCTGTGAGGAGACGGTATTTGCAGAGACTTTAGTTGAAGTTTTGTCGGTCAGCGATGCACACTTCCTCTGCGTCTCCCGAGTGCGCAGATATCTCGGTCTTTTGCAGCAGAACAGCAGCCGTGTTTCTGCACCTTGACCTGGACTGATCCTCGTGGCTCGTTCCCACATCGCCGCCGGCCGCAGCCTTGGTCGGGAAGTCGTAAACAAGTTCTCCAACAGATATTTATGCAGCAGAACAAACAGTTGGCTCGGCGTATCGAGAGGAGTCATTTGCATTATTGCCTCGTGAGCGGTTTTGATTACCAAGACAATGTTCACGTTGGAGCTTCGTGGCAGATTTAATGAGATGGCGGTTGAGGTGGAGGGTGGATTTTTGGGAGCTTCACAATGTGCCGATTGCTTGGATAGTGGTGATGATCCAGAACATTCCACATTCAACAGCTTTAACTAGAGAACTACTGTTGTGACTTAGAGCGATACATGAATAAATTGAATTGAGCTGCCCCTGGTCACCCTACACGATTTCAAACAACAAACCCAGTATTTAAAGCGCTCATAACTCGTTTCTCTTCTTTTCAATTCAATGTTTTTGTGTACAGCCCTAAATCCCAACAGCAGTCGTCACGGAGGGCTTTACAAAATTGACGATTCACCGACAACAGATCAGAGAATCGGTTGTACAGAACAGTTTGAATTGTTAAAATTTAGAATAATATGAAATACAGCATACAAGTAACTAGTTCCTCACTCTCCAAGTAGTTTGGTTGTATCAATAGTTCTCCCGTATATTTTTGCAACTTTTTCAGACCAAAAAGTTAGACCACCCACTCGGCCAACCTGCTCTCAGCCCGAAGCCAAATCTAGATAAACAATACTAATACAAATACTAATGTACAGACAATTGGCAGCCTTCACCAGTGGATGACTTCCTTTGGGGCCAGTGCTGTGGATGTAAAGTGTGCCAGTGTGAAGTGTGCCAGTGTGAAGTGCGCCAATGGCCTAGTTTCTCTGTATCTTAAATCATGTAATCTTGCCTTTTGTGTAACTTAAAGTCGTGGAGGAACTGCACAACATTGTTACTCAAAGTCTCCGGAAAATGTTGTTGAAATGCTTGTGTGAAAATGTACTTTGTCACAGAGTTTTTGAGAAATGTTCAGGCTCAGTGAGAATGAATTGTGGACATTTCGCAAATCAATGCATTTTCTGATGAATTGTATGTTGACATTTTTGTTTTCTCAAAAAGATGGACTGAACAAATCTCTGTTCAGCAAGATGTCACTATGAAAGTACAAATAAGACCATAGAGAAGGCCCTTTGCTCTGGGTTTAAGACCACAGAGAAGGCCCTTAGTTCTGAGTTTAAGACCACAGAGAAGGCCATTTGTTCTGAGTTTAAGACCACAGAGAAGGCCATTTTTTCTGAGTTTAAGACCACAGAGAAGGCCCTTTGCTCTGGGTTTAAGACCACAGAGAAAGCCCTTTGCTCTGGGTTTAAGACCACAGAGAAGACCCTTTGCTCTGGGTTTAAGACCACAGAGAAGACCCTTTGCTCTGGGTTTAAGACCACAGAGAAGACCCTTTGCTCTGGGTTTAAGACCACAGAGAAGGCCCTTTGCTCTGGGTTTAAGACCACAGAGAAGACCCCACTGGAGCTGGCCCTCAGACCTCACACTTACCCTCAGACCCCACTGTTACCCTCAGACCCCACACTTACCCTCAGACCTCTCACTTACCCTCAGACCCCACACTTACCCTCAGACCTCTCACTTACCCTTAGACCCCACACTTACCCTCAGACCCCACACTTACCCTCAGACCCCACACTTACCCTCAGACCTCTCACTTACCCTCAGACCCCACACTTGGCCGGTGGTACAGTATATTTGAATGAGGAACTTAAGTCTTGGTTCTCCTCATGAAGGTAAATCAGTTCCTTGTGGTAAATGTTTAAGAATATTTTGAATTCAGTGTTGGTTGTGTTGGTTGTGTGGTCAGTGAGCAGCCTCTAGTGGTCAGATGATGTAGTTACACATTCTAAAGTCAAAACGCTGCTGTTCATGAGTGATTTTGCTTTTATTTACCCAGAAGTTACTGCTTAAAGCTGATTTATTTGTCCAAAAAGAAAGAGCCTTTAACTTAACATGTTATTGTTTGTAGACTTGTCAGAAAGAAATTTGTGAGTCACTGTTTGATGCTTTGGGCTGAGACTGATGGCTCTTTCAATGGAGGTAGATCCGTTTATATTTCTAATTTTTGTGTAAGAACAATTTTATTTTATTTTTTTACCAATTCATAAAATCCATTTAATTCCAACATATTTGGTGAACTTACACAAGTCTTAAAAAAGTGTACATTCTATGGAGAAATGGGAAGTATC